GGTGGCCCGTCCTCCCCTCTCCACACCCCAGCACCCCTTCGCCCTCCCCAGGTTCCAAACGTGACTCTGAACGTCCCTGAGGGCCTTGCTCTGTGATCTGAGCGTGTGAGGCTTCCCCTCGGTTCTGCTCTGCGGAGTCACGCAGCGTCGTGCAGGATAAGCGTGCCGGGGGTATGTCCTGCTGCCTCGATTGCCAGAGGAAGGGACTGGGCCTGAGAAGAGGGGTGACATGTCCAAGGTTACCAGGTCTGTAGGTGGGATTGCAAACGGGACTCGGACTCCCGGGACAAGTTTGTACACTGTATTACCATCATGTCAAAGTAAGCTTCTTAATAAGAAGCTTTTCAGCAGCTCGTCAGTTACATATAAATAATTTAAGAACTTAGCAATGCCCGAGTGTATCTCTTTACTCAGAGCATCCTGTGGATTTCCTTACATGGTTAAAAGAGGTAGTAATAAAATAGATGAGTGTAACAAAATTTCTTTTTTTACCTTATGTTTATTGGAAGATTATTTCAATAGGTTTCAGTGTTCATTCACAAATAAGAATGTATTTACTCGCCACATAATCATGTGGGAGTTACAGACATACAGGTGGGTGGTCCCCCCATCATTCTTCCAGTGACTTCTGAAGGTTTAAAGGGACAGTCTCCTATAGGAATCTTCATGGAACTTTCTGGGTAAGTTTTCATGCAGAAAAGTACTTCCTCAGCCGGCCGGATCACTCGTAACTTTGTTGCTTGCATTTTCTTTCTCCAGGTCTGCCTCCTCTCTCACAGTCCACATTTTTCCAAGAGCAGCGGAAAATGAATAAATTTCTGGTGAGTTTTTCTGTTTATGTATTTATTCTTTAGTTTATTTTATAATACACTTTAGGAAGTGAATAGTTCAAAGTTCAAAATGGGAAAGTAGACCAGATGAAAGATATGCTTAGACAGAACAGCACAGCAGGTCAGCACCAGGCATGTCTGTCAAGCTCAAATGTGTAGATGGCATCATCCTTCAGAGCTCTTCAAGCAAAAGTACAAGTGCACCTTGTGTTCTTGACGTTCGTTGCGAAAAATGATAAATACCATCCATTATTCGACTCACATTGACCGGCGAACACTTTTCTCTTGGGTTTTAAAGATTTCGTTGGCGATCTCACTGTAGTTGTGACTAGCCTTCCTAAAGGAGAAGCCCTGAGCCATTGCCACTGGTGCCTTGTGCCTCGTGTAAACCAGTGGCGTACTGCCCAGGGAGCCCTCAGGGCACATACCTTTTCTGCTGACTAAAGCATTGTTGACCCATAGATATATCGTTTTTACTGCTTGGTCAGCGGAGATAAAACGAGGACCATCTGGAGGAATGGTCCTCTCACCCTTCAGATCAGTGTTCCCAAATATCTCCTCGACTGTCTGTTGGGGTTGCACAGCTGACCCTGTGGCGATGTCTCTGGCAAAGACTCCTTATTTCCCGTTCATGTTTTATCTCGCAGCCTGCAGTCAGGGGTCTCTCCCTGCCCTCTCCTGAACCTGACCTAGTAAAGGTCACTTGTGATCTGTTAGAGATCTGCCATCCTTGCCTGGGCGCACTGCCGCCTTCCCCATCTGCAGCCTCCTCTGCCGGTGTCTGTAACAGATCTCTCCTTGCTGTCCTGCCGATTCTTCTGCTACCTTCATGTGCTGTTCCTGCACCCTTGTCTCGTGACTCTTACGCCCACCGGTCCTTCCCGCCCCCCGTGCTTCTAACTGCCAGCTCTGTCCGTTCTCCCGCACAGACCAGATGGCCCTGTCCTGCCCGCACCTTCACAGAGCGTGTCCAAAGGACAGCTCAAATAAGAGAGCCAGTAGATCCAGAATGTCATTATTTGCCAAATGCCACTTCCGTCTTCACCCGTTGCCCTACTGGTTCATCGCTCCTCATCCTGCTTGTCATGTGTCCAGAAAAATGGAGTCATTGTAAACTCCTCCATCCTGTTGCCACATTTGATGATTATTCAGCTTTGTTAATGTTGACATTCTAAATGGGTTTTATTTCCTTCCCCTTCACCCCACCCCGTTTCCATTAAAATAGCTTACCTTTTCGTCCCTGGACTGTTACAGAAGCTTCCTTCCTGGGCTGCTCCTTCTTTCCTCCCCTAGCTCAAGTGGATTTTCCACGTTGAGTATTTCTCCGGAAGTGCTACTCAGTCATGTCTCCGTGCAGAAAGCACCTGAGAGGTTCCCTGAATATCTAGAAAAAAGAGGTCGCCGTTACACTGAGGTGGGGAAGATTGTGGGAGAAGCAGTTTTAAGAAAAGGCCAGAGTTAGGTTTGAGACATTTTAAATCGAGCTGCCATTATGACATGCAAGTGAAGATGTCGGCATCTGTGTCACCGGATGGTGCTTCTCAGCTCTCAGTGGTTTGAGCACCACTTGTCCTGCCCGCAACACTTTCTGCTCTGCTCTTTGGAGGGCTCCCAGCAGAAGCTGCTCCTCGTTCGGCTCTTCGCTTTGTGACCCTTCGCTTCGCCGAATGTTTTGTCTTTTTTCTTAGAAGTAACATCCTGTGTCTTCGGGATTGGGATGTGGTTTTAATTTTTCCTTTTCTTTGGCTGTGATTTTAAGAGGTAGTTCTTCCCCTCAAGGAACTTCCCGTTCCCCTGGGAGGCGGTAACCCACGGAAGTATTTACAGGATCATGGGCGTCCTTCCGATCAGCACCCAGGACACTGAAGAGATGTGAAGCACAGCTGGTTTTAGCCGCACTGTCGGAGTCCAGCTCAGTCGCTCGGCGAGGGGGGAGCTGTAGGTGGGGTGAGGCAGTTTGTCACAGCCCTGGAACGATCGTGACCTGCGTACTCACAGAGGGCGCTGAGGTGCTCAGAACAGCACGAGGTGGACTGAACACGGCTCCTGAAGGCTCTGCTTGCTCATTAGCTCACAGGCTTCTGTCGAGGGACCGTGAGGGTGTGGGTGGAGACCAGCACTGGGACTGACCGAAGGGTCACCCATGCTGTCCTGATTTTGGGTTTGGTCCTGCGCAGAGTTTGAAACCTTTTCATTAGGAAAGTGAGTTATTTGATGAAAAGATGTCATATGTAGAGGCCGATCATGTGAACAGCATGAAGTTCAGGGGCGGGGGGTGGCGGGTTCGAGTCAAGGGGACCCTGGTCTAGTGAGATGCCAGAAAAGGAATATGACCTGGGGTGTTCTGCCTGACCCGAGGCCCCAGTAGCTTGTTGGTAGGCTTAGGGTTTTTTCTTAATCATCAGTGAGGTTTATATTTTTACATATTTAGGAGCTGGAGGTTTTTTCCTCCCCATTAATAGACTATTTTTAGAGCGGTTTGAGGTTGACAGAAAAATTGAGCCCAGCAGAGTTCTCGCATACCTGGCCTCCCTCAGCTCTCCTGCCGCTAACACCTGCCGAGTGTGCTGTGTTGCTACAGCCCACGGGTCGGTGTTGATACATTATTATCTAAGATCCATAGTTTGCATTAGGGCTTACAGTCAGGGCTTGCTCTTTCTGTTGTATGGTTTAGGTTTTAGCAAATGTGTAAGGACATGTAGCCGCCATTCCAGTGCCACGCAGAACAGTTTCAGTACCTCCTGTAAGCTGTAGGAGCAACCAGTTTGCACAGGAGCAGCAGGTGCATTTCCGGCATGTCGAGTTTGAGGTTGGGGACGTACGTATCTGGTACGCAGGAAGGAAGTCTGGGCTGGTGATGTCAGTTTGGGGAATGTGATATGTAGATGATAATTAAAGCCACGAGGCCAGATGGGGCCACCATCAGAGCAGCGAGCGCAGAGCAAAGGACGAGCACGGAGCCCCAGGGCCCTCTGAGTCAGGATGACTCGGAGAGGCAGGCAGCCGGCGAAGGAGGCTGAGCGGGAGCGGCCAGGGAGCAAACGGGGAGCCAGCACTGCACACGTTCTGGAAGCATAACGAAGGGGCCAAGTGCATTCTGTGTTGCCAGGAGGGCCTATGCTCCTCGGGGGCAGGGCTGTGTCCACTGCTCTGTGTCCCTGACAGGCGGCTTGTCCTGGCTCACGGTGCAGGGCCGCATCTTCCTTTTCTGGTGTGGACATGTGAACTGTCGTGTGTTCCTCACACCCATGTTTAACTTCCACAGTCTGTGAGACAGAAAAGGTGTACAGCGTTCTTAGTTGACTTTGCCAGTGAGCCTGGCAGGTCTTGTCCCCATACGCCTTCTCCAGTTCTAATCCCAATGCCGTTCCAGGGACCGGTGTCATTCAAGGACGTGGCAGTGGACTTCACCCAGGAGGAGTGGCAGCAGCTGGACCTTGTGCAGAGGACAACCTACCGGGACGTGATGCTGGAGAACTATAGCCACCTGGTTGCCTTGGGTGAGGAGAGCTGGCTTCCGAGTCGCTGCGATGCATGGGATTTCTCTCCAGTTTAATAACTTTAATTTTGAATTTGATGGGACAAATGTGAATAATGTGTCTTGGGCACCAGGCAGGACATATTGGTCTTTACTTCCCCAGTGAAAGGTTCTAATTTTGATCCAGTTCAGGCGGGCATCCTGCCGTGTAGCTACTAAGGCAGCAATTGCCTCAGATGGCAGCGAGACAGAAGCCCAGCAGCCAGCCAGGTTCAAGCTCTCTTTCGTTTTTTATTAACAGGGTGTCACGTTGTCAAACCGGAAGTTATCATCAAGTTGGAGCAAGGAGAAGAGCCATGGATAGTAGAAGGAGAAGTCCTACTTCAGAGTTACCCAGGTGTGTCAGAGGAGGCAGTGAGGCGATTGGTAACTTGGCAGTGTTTTTCCCAGGAATTTTTAATGGTCCCAAACTTCAGAAGTGACTAAATATAGTTACTTGTATGCTTTAGCTACCAGATTCTCACTCCCAAAGGCAGCTCCCTCCCCCACAGAGATTTATGCTTGCAGAGCTTTTCCATGCTCACCTCGACCCAAAACTGACATCCAGTCACTTCCTTCTTTCTCTTTAACCTTGGGTCCTGCCGGCTTTCATGGCATTTTCAGTAATCCATTGCCCTAGAGTGTTTTTAAGTATTCATAAGTCTATTATTAAAAAATAACTTATGCAACCTGTGTTATTATCTTCCGTCCTCTTTCTTTATTATGAAATGCCTCAGACTTGTTCCTGTCCCCAGTTTCACTTTTTACTTCTCTGTCTTTGAGGTCAGATTCCAAACACCATCATGTGCCTTAGCCAGTAAATTCAGTTCACCCCTGTTGTCATATGCACTTGTGCTGGTCATTACTCCTGATATCCAGCCCTTCTTAAGTTTGGTGACACCAGGAACGTTTTCTCCAGATGTTCATTTTCATCTCATCTTTTTCTCCAGATGTTCATTTTCATCTCGTCTCTCTTATTTACTGTTCTGTTCCCAGTGCCTGTCATAGTAGGTGCTCAATAAATGTGATGTACAGAGATGAATTGTGACAGATTTGTCCTCCCATCCTCTCCAGAAATGCTTCTGCCTTTAGTGCTTCTTTAAAAGGCTCCTCCTGTCTCAAGTCTTTTTAGTTCTTCGTGGTCCGTTTTGTGCTGCATCGCCCACCTCTAGTCCGGGGTCCCCTGTCACAGGGGCAGTACGGCACCCTCTTGTTCAGATGGATTTATAACGTCTTCATCTGACATTCCCAGTGGCTGCATCTCGTCACCAGTCTCACAGGATGCACCTGCAGAGGCTCCCGTTCATTCTTAAAGGGAACTGACATTCCTCATGCTTTAGGAGTCACCGCAGTATTAGTCTGTATTGTCTGGAAAATTTTTTCTTTTGTTTCCCAAAATTCCTGCTAAACTTCATTTGGTCGAGAAATGTGTTCTATTTATGTGATTGTTGTCCCTGCAGCTTTATGTTTCACTGGGGTGTGCTTTATTTGGCCAGATAACACTTTAAGTCTGAGCTCAAATTGTCAAACCTTTCCATCTTTGAAGTTTTTCCTTCACTCTTATCATTACTCCAGTCTCTTGCTTCTCTCAACTTTGACTCCACCTCATGGTGATACGTTAAAAAAGAGTTAGATCTGACCAAGGAATCTATTATTTGAGAGTATGTATTTTTTGCTTGAGCTTTCCTCCCCTGAATTATAATCCTGTAAAGAAAAGAGTATGGCTATATCTGATGACCCTCTTTCTCCAACAAATAGGTTGATTTTCCTGGAGCAGTAATTCATTTAGACTAGATCATCCTAGTTTGGCTTCATATTGTAAATCCAGGTAGTACTATTGCTCAGATTTTTTCTCCTCATTTTCTCCATTGCTGTTTTGATGGTGGACTAAGGGAAATTGTAGGTTTTGGAGGACAAAGTTGATATGGTTTCATTTGACATGGATGATAGCATGCTTGATAGTCAGGGTCATCCAAAAATTTGTAAGATAAGTGAAAATAAGGTCACTATTTTAGAAGCAGATTGAGGAATCTGATTTTTAACATTTGTACACTAAATGAAACTCATGGGTAAGTGCTTTTCACACTCAGAATTAAGTGACAACGGTAACGTCAAAGATGAGACAAATAAGAAAATTGTCAGAAGATTGAAAATGGAGAAAATAATCCTAAACTTATTGAGTGTGTATTTTGTGCCAAATGCCATTGTGAGCACGTTATATTAATCAACTGATGTAAACCCACTACAACTCCATGAAATAGGTACATTGTCTTCATGTTACTGGTGGATGAATCTGAGTCTGAGGGCAGCTAGGTGACTTGCCCTGGGTCACCTAACCAGAGTTAATGCTCTGTGGTCTAAATAGGAACAAATAGGGTTTCATGGTCAGAATGAATTCAGTTTAAACGACAACAATGTTAGAATATTTAAGAAATCTAAAGCTTCTGAAAGGACGGCATGCTCTGTGGTCTGTTTTACAGTGTTGGGCATATCCGTTCCTGGACTCTCCTTCCAAGTGGAACACAATTAGAGCCCTGGTTATAGGATGTTACTCTAAACATGAGGAGATGTGGGGGTCTGTTTATTTGGCACTAGTGTGTGGAATCTGAAAAAAAGGCTAAATAGTTTGGAAGGATCTAGACTAGTCAAAATGCTGCCACAAAAATCTTAGTATAAGGTGATAGTGCCTTAAATTGTGATCGTTTCTCCCAAGCTGATATGAAACGATGTATGAAGTGCTACTCCTCCCCCTCCAAAACTAATCCATCCTTACAGATAGTTTACGGCCCTCCTTGTCGCCCTGTCAGTTGACCCCATTCGCTCTGAATACTCTGAGCTACCTTGTCAATCATTTATCCAACGTCCTGTCTTCTGATCACTGCCGTGTGTTTACATATTATCTTCTATACTCAGTTTTCAACAAAATCTTATAAAGTAGCAAAGATCAAAGGTACTGGTGTTTTTATTAGTTTATTTCTCTTTTTCCTCATCACTAGAGATTGGTGCATGCACGTGTATCTTTATATTCCAAACCAAAGAATAAAGGAAAAAAAATACACACGGAATTATTTTCACTGTCTATGAAACTAGCACCTACACCTCAATGAAGTGCTTGTGTATGTCTCATTCCTTGTCTTATGTAGGAAGATGTACAAAATTTGGTTAATTTTGCCTCTTTTTAGAAGTCTGGAAAGTCAACCTGATAGAGGGAGTCCAGGAAAGTGAAGGCAAACATTCGATCCAAACTGTATCCATCAGCAACAAAACCCTGAGTGAAGAGAGAGGTAATGTTCTTAGCAAGACTTTTAATGTGGAAACAAACCCTGTTCTTTCAAGAAAAATATCCTATAAATGTGACTCATGTGAAAAGAGTGTAAAGTCGATTTCAGAATATATTAGTAGTGATGGAAGCTATGCAAGAATGAAACCCGATGAATGTAGTGCATGTGGGAAATCACTCCTCCACGCGAAGCTTGAGAAAACTCATCCAGGAGACAGATCTTATGAATTTAATCAAAATGGGGACACTTATACTCTAAATGAAGACAGCATCTATCAGAATGTGCATATTTTGGAGAAACCCTTTGAATATATTGAATGCCAGAAAGCCTTTCAAAAGGATACAGTTTTTGTTAATCCATTGGAGGAGAAGCCCTATAAATGGAATGAATCTGAAATAGCCTTTCTCCAAATGTCAAACCTCAGTGTACACCAGACATCTCCTATGGAAATAAAACCCTATGAATGCAGTGCATGTGGAAAATCCTTCTGTAAAAAGTCAAAATTTATTATACATCAGAGGACTCATACAGGAGAGAAACCTTATGAATGTAATCAGTGTGGAAAATCCTTCTGCCAGAAGGGAACCCTCACTGTCCATCAGAGAACACACACAGGGGAGAAGCCCTATGAATGTAGCGAATGTGGGAAAACCTTCTACCAGAAGTTACACCTCATTCAACACCAGAGAACCCACTCAGGAGAGAAGCCGTATGAATGTAGTTATTGTGGAAAATCCTTTTGCCAGAAGACACACCTCACACAACACCAGAGAACGCATTCAGGAGAGAGACCCTATGTTTGTCATGATTGTGGAAAAACCTTCTCCCAGAAGTCAGCACTTAATGACCATCATAAGATTCACACAGGTGTGAAACTCTATAAGTGTAATGAATGTGGGAAATGTTTCTGTCGAAAGTCTACTCTCACTACACATCAGAGGACACACACAGGAGAGAAACCCTACGAATGTAATGAATGTGGAAAATTTTTCTCTCGGTTATCATATCTCACTGTACATTATAGAACTCATTCAGGAGAGAAACCCTATGAATGTAATGAGTGTGGAAAAACCTTCTACCTAAATTCAGCCCTCATGAGACATCAGAGAGTACACACAGGAGAGAAACCATATGAATGTAATGAATGTGGAAAATTATTCTCCCAGTTGTCATACCTCACTATACATCATAGAACTCATTCAGGAGTGAAACCCTATGAATGTAACGAATGTGGGAAAACCTTCTACCAGAATTCAGCCCTTTGTAGACATCGGAGAATACATAAAGGAGAGAAGCCCTATGAATGTTACATATGCGGAAAATTCTTTTCTCAGATGTCATACCTCACTATACATCATAGAATTCATTCAGGAGAGAAACCTTATGAATGTAATGAATGTGGGAAAACCTTCTGCCAGAATTCAGCTCTTAATAGGCACCAGAGGACGCACACAGGAGAGAAGGCCTATGAGTGTTATGAATGTGGAAAATTCTTCTCTCAAATGTCATATCTCACTATACATCATAGAATTCATTCTGGAGAGAAACCCTTTGAATGTAATGAATGTGGGAAAGCCTTCTCTCGGATGTCATACCTCACTGTACATTACAGAACTCATTCAGGAGAGAAGCCCTATGAATGTAGTGAATGTGGGAAAAAATTCTACCACAAATCAGCCTTCAATAGCCATCAGAGAATCCATAGGAGAGGGAATGTAAATGTAATTGATGTGGGAAGGCTTCTCTGAAGTCAGACCTTATTTTATGTCAAGAACCCTTTCAAAATAATGTATAAGGAACTCCTACCATTGTAAATCAGTTCACACAGGGGAAAGTGGATCAGCCTTTGTGCATTAGTCAGGTTTGTAATCTGAAAGTTCACAGGGTAAAAACCACGATTGCCACAAGACCACGTGACTTGTTGGATACTAGATTACACAGGAGCAAAAGTTTATAAACCTGTAGAATGTATATACGTTTCACTGTGGATTCAAACTGTTTTACATATCAGGGAATTCATACCAATGGGAATCTGTCATTTTAAGAAATGTGGAAAACATACTCCTTTAGAAATTGTTAATACTAAAAGTTATGTTTCTGATGTATCAAGCTTTTTGTAAAAAAAAAAAAACTTGTGAATAAATGTACACCTCATGTAAATAGAAGCTGTAAAAATCAGACGGCTAATCAAGACAGCAACACAGCCACATTAAACTCATATAGGTAGTTCCTGAGGATGTAGGACTTTTTGTTTGCTTGCTTTTTAGGATGCTACATTACAGGAATTATATGTTCATTCTAAATCATGTTTGAAAAGGCATTGTATCCTTTTTAGAATAACTTGTAAGACACGGTAAGATTACTCATTTTAAATGGCACCACCACGTTAGCATCTTAATATGCAGTGTCATTGAACTAATATTCAATAGGTATAAAGTATGCTGCTGCTTGTACTCTTCTCTAGCACTTACGATTGTATTTGATTGTTAATGAACTAAATCTTCCCTAAAGAAGTCAATGTTTTTTATAATGTTTTCGACTGTATTTGAGTCAACAAGAGATAGAAATGTATGTGTAAAATAGATAGAAAAAAACTGAATAAGTAGTTTTAAATTGTTAATGCCCAAAGTCTCCAGTAGTGAGAAACAATTGTAGTGCTCATTAAACTCTGTACAGTTTTTAAATGTACTTAAAATAGTCCCATTTTTATCTGACTTTTTTCATCTGTTTTTTATTTAGATCCTACATAAGTGTGCAGTAATGTTTTTAAACACTGCACTCCTGTTCCTAAGCGAGTTAAGACTATGTTCATAGGGCTACTTGTGGCTGACATTGTTGAGTGCCCGCCCTAGCCACCCGTTCCTTACTTTTCACTGGCAGAGTTTGCATATCCATATCTCCTCGTGGAACGGGGATAAATCCTGAATGGTTTCAACGAATAATGATAATCTGTCATTGTCAGCAAAGGAGTGGTAATAGGATCTAATGGTAGACACATAAAAGAGGTATCAGACAGGTTATTTCTGGAGCAGGTTTCCTCAAAGATTCAAGGAAGGCTGCAGGGTAAAGTGGAGTCTTGTGTTGACCATCTCCTTGTCAGGATGTGACACCTGGTTGTGTCTTTCAACAATGACTTCTGATTTGTGCGTGGCAGAGCGGAAGGGTGGCAAGAACCTGGATGGTGTTGCTGAGCCACTGCCTAACCAGCCGCGTAGCCGCTCCAGCTCTGGACTGTTCCTTTGGGGAAGGACTAAATTGATTTTTATTCCAGTTAAAGCTCTGTTAGTGATAACTGGAGCTAGGAAGTTACCTTTTGCAGGAGTAACGCAATTGAGAAGTGGACCTTAGGTAAATCACCTATTTCGAGGTCTTAATACAGAGACTTATTTTCTGTAAATTTTGATGTAAGTAGTTTGAGCATTAGAAACAAATATGTATGTTTCCTTGAGTTGTTACGTCATTGACCAAAGGACCTTTGGAACCCGATAGAATGTCAGGGATACCTTCCTTTTTATAATGCATGACACAGATTTCGTTTAATTTACATTATTCATGGATCATTGCTACAATGTTCGTTGACAATATATACAGTGTAAGGTAAGGACCTACTTTCGTTTGCTTTCCAGGGATTAGCCCGATAGCCTACGTTATTTGAATAATTTACCCTTACCACTGAGATGAAATGCCATGTTTTTCATGTGTTTTAATCACTTGTGAAGCCTGTTTTGTTGCTCAGCACTTTTCCTCCATACTCTTTGAGCTGATTGTATGCTACATTACAGGAATTAAAGGTCTGCTAGATTGTACAGTTGTGTAGAAACTATATGTTCAGAGTATATTTGTCGAAATGCTATCTACAAAGGTTTCCCACCCCAGTGCGTCAAAATTATTATAGCTTAAATACACAGTATGGGTATTAAGTAAAAAATTTGAAAAGCTGAAATGGTTTATCACATTCTTTTTCTCTTGCTGAGAGCCTGCATATTAAAGGGCCAGTCCATGTAATTCCTAAACTGCCTCTTCAATAATGTAGTCATGTAATTTGTTTATAGTGTGACAGCTGGCAGTGTTGTCATGTTATCACATCTCTGAAATGAGGATCGGTAGCACGTTCTAATTTAATTGCCATTGTTTTTCTTCTTCCTTAGAGGTACTTAAAATGATTTGTCTTAGATGTGACGGAATGCCGTGTTTGAAAAGTTTAACTCTTCCTGGCAAGTGTGTGAGGTGCACAGACCCGAGTTAGTGAAAGACAGCACCACGGGGCGGGTTCGGCGCGCCTGGCCTGCAGTGAGGGCTGAGAATGGAGTGAAGGCAGCGTGAGTACGTGTCTTTCACACACGATGGCCTCACAATCTGTGGCGTCAGCAGATTAGGAACCCTGGGAGGGGTCTTTAAGGGCTGAGCGGGAGGTCAGCCATTTCCTGGCAGGTGGAGATGAGAGTCCCCCAGTTTTGTTATCCTAGAGTTAGTGGAGTGGTGGTTCAGTTGTTACCCCCGTAGCGCCTCAGGTCAGACCGAAGACATGGCATTCGCACCGGGGCCACATGCTGTCAGGCTACCGAGTCCCTCTCTCACAGTCCCATTTCCGTATGCCTGACTGGGCGGTCCAGTCAAGCTCCACGAAGGAGGTTTCACAATAAACCACAAGACTGCAGCCCAGGTTGTTAACGGCTTTACAGAATGCCTCCAATTGGACAAAATTAGGAAATACATTTTTTAAACTAAGTTGCTTTTCCTCTCCTCATCACAGTCATAACTATATCACAAGTAAATTGCTTTCCCTTCCTTGAACTTAAAGCCTGTGATTCCTGCCAAACCGAAGAAGTGGCATGGGCTGCTGACTTGCTTGCATAGCCCTGCTCTGGTGATGCCACAGACGTGAGGGCAGTTTGTGGGTCAGGGAACTAACCTGAAAGGGGACAGCTCTGAAGAAGGCAGGCAGATGTGGCTCTCTCGTGGGGGAGGTGCTGGTAGCCAGACGCAGTAGAGAGGCAGTTGCTAAAGAAAACTTGCCGATTGTCATCTTTCCACACTGTACTTTCACCCTTCACTGTAGGGTCCCAAGCACATTACTGTCCACCATGGTGCCTTCAGAGACAGGACAGCAGGCACATCAGGTTGGCACTGCAGTGGCTACATGAGAGCAGCCTCTTGGTCCAGCTGAGACGTAGGGTGGACACAACAGACACAGTATGTCAGCCTGGAGCATCCTCTCCTCCCCGCAAAGCCACATCTTCACAGGGGCACCTTCTTCTGGATGGAGGTGACCATGTCAAGTGCCCAGAGGAGAGGGGTCAGTAGGGAAGGGCTTTCTCTTCTGTAACACGTGCCTCTACTTAAACCACCCCAAGGAGCAGGAACTAGGGACCACACCTCCCTGCCACTCGTATCAACCAAGGTTTGTGGATACCCCAGTGAAAATTTCAGAAAAGCAGACATGAGCTTCCTAAGAGAGAGCACACCGTACCATGTACACAAGTGGCAAGCTTAATGAGATGTGGAAGTTGAGATTTCAGATTTTCTTAATAGACATCCTTGAAGAAAAGAGTATTGATAATATGAAGCAAGAACAGAAAGTTTCCCAAGAAAGGTGGGGAGGTGAGGGCTGAGCATGAGATAATTCAATAGATGAGCTTAGTAATAGAATTCACACAACCAAAAAACAAACTAGCGGACTGTGTTAATGGCAAATAATTCTCTCAAGACACTAGAAAGAAAGAAATATGATGTGAAAATTAAAAATTTTTGAGATGTAGAAGATACTAGAGATACTATCCACATACTCGGATTTTCAAAGAAACAAGATAGGGAGAAAATACATGAATTAAAAATGTCTCAGAATTAAAGAAGAAACCTAAAAGGAACTTCTGTAATCCCAACTGGAAAGACAAAGAAAATCTCTTCGGTCTATAAAGGAAAACTTGTTTAACCTAAATCAAGAGCGATCGCTAGAATACACAGGGATGTCCGCGAAGGGGTGAGCAGGGCGCCATGCAAAAGAAAGGCTGCACGGGCTGCACTCGACGACATCAGTGTTTACAAAATGCAAATTAGCCCTTTACACACATCGGAATGGCAAAATGTACAGCGATGTATAATAAGTACTGGTGAGGATGTGAGTGGCGGTTGGTAATGTTTATATACTGCAGAAGTGTCTAAAATGATAGTGCCACACTGGGAAGTTGATCTGCAAATGCTTCCTTAAATTGGGAATGTGGATGCCTTACCCTGATCTGTTTATATATCCCAGAGAGATTCTATGCGCATGAGGATGTGTAGACAGAAGGTTTCATCGCAACAAGATTTTGAGATATCCTAGGTGAATGTCACTAGAAGAAGAATATGTGGGTCAAGCTGGGGCGTTCTGCCAGCAGAGGCATCTGCTGTATCTGTATGTAGCACATCTGATGAAATATTTTACATGTGAATGAAAAAAGGATGGAATGAGATTTCATGTAACTAAATATTTGTATCAATTAAAATTTTACACCCATACATCCCTACGTAGTTTACAGTGTGTGCTTTTAAAGTCGTAAATTCACTAGTATGAATGCTGTGGGGGGAGGGGAGGGAGCTGGGGTTGGTGCGGAGAAGGATCCGGTAAAGCGAGGATGGGGTCCGTGCAGGGACCAGTGTTGATGAGGAGTGTTCTGAACTGAGTCTGGCAATGAACACTGTCCTCCAGGATTCCTACGGAAACAGAAAAACTAAAGGCCTCAGGAAATGAAAATTCTCGATAATGTTCTGTTCAGTCTTAGGGTTTTATGGCTCAGGTGCCCAAGATGTCTGTGCCTGTTTTGGCAACTTCAGCCCAAGCCATCTTTCAGTAAAATGGTCGCAGCTGCCCCATCTGTTGGTCCCTACTTTTGAACGTCCTTCCTATGATGAATGTGCCACCCAGTTAGCGTGACAGATTGGGCTGCTAGATGTCCTACGGTGTTACAATGTTTCTTTTTGTAAAAAATCACCCCCGCTTCCAGTTTCAGCTGGCGTATCACCAGAGATGTCTCTTCCCAGTGGCCAGGCGACTGCATTTGGTCCACAAGGGAAATAATGTGCCATGTTGTGAGTCACATTCTTAACAGAGGACCTTTTGTTCCTCGCTGCCTCCCCCGCACCCCTTGCCCTCATGCCGTGACACAGCTGGTGCCAGTGAGCTTGTTTCCACCCTGAGCACAAGGACAGCACCTGGCACCCTTGAAAAGGGCCACGGAAACGCTTTGGGCCTTGGGGGCCACACAGCGCCTGTGGCAGCCGCCCACCTCTGCCGCTGTGGCATGAGAGCCCGCAGTGCACGGGGAGGAGAGCCTTTCACATAGGGACACTGAAATCTGAGTTTCATAATTTTCACATGCCACAAACTTCTTTCGATTTTAAAAAACTACTTAAAATGCAAACGCCATTCCTGATTTACAGACTGCACAAAAAGGCAGCGGGCCGCACTGGTCTGTGACCATATTTTGCTAACTCTTGCTTTAGGAGATGGAAAAGTAACAGGTAAAGGGAACCCTTTCCCTGGATGATATCACAGAGTAGGACAAGCCGACCTCCCTAGACCACCTATTGCTGGACTTGTGCATGAAACAACGATCTTCTGTCTCGGTTCAGCCACTTGGCAGCCAGCCCAACGCCAACAGAGAATTAGCCAATGAAAAATGAACTGTCGTTTTTTCTAAGATGCAACATATGCATTCCTCCAACACCTATCGTACAAATGACTAATAAAAGAGTCTCATGAAGAACGTAGAAGTAGCCCATTCAGAATCTTGTAATATAACAAGAATATTAGCAGAATCAATAGTAATCCTAATAAAAATACTAGCACAGCTTAGAATTTTACATTTCTAATAAAATACGCAGTCTTTCTATTCTGAGAAAAATGTGGGCCTAGATCTTGGTTTCTAAATATTAATCCCCACCAAATGTAACCAAAGCTCTTTAGAGTAACAGCTTATCCCAAGGCTGGGTAGGAGAAATAAGAGCGTGGAACATCCATCTGGACCAGTATCAGCTCAAGAATTGATGGGACGTGGTTTTATGTCTAGAAACGGCAGAGCAGGGAGATTGAGGGCTCTGTCCCTGCATCGTGAACAACTCCTAATGAACCGGTGAAAACTGACCATCGACCTAGTCCGAATCTTACAACCACTGGGGGGAGGCCTGGCGAAGGACGGCAGGGCTCTGCAGCGACAGGGCTGTGACTCTGAACTGTCCGCCTCCCATCCCCCGCATCTCAGATCAGTAGCCAAAAGGATGACAACCTGAGCTCCAGGTCAGGATGCTGGGGCCAGAGGGTGAATGACAGTCAGAACTGTGATGGCGGGCGTCTCCTGTTGGGACACTGTAAGAGTTTCAAGTCTTCCCTTTATTTCCTCAACTCAGAGCAGTCACGGGGCTGGGGCAGCATGTGCCCAAAGCACTGAAAGGAACAAGTACTGGCTGCAGCCGCTGGGAATGAGAAATGACAGTTATTTCTTGCTTCAAATGAGTAACAGACAAACAGAAGCCTGGCGAGGAAGAGGTTGAAAAAGAAGGTGTGTGGGAATAAGGGCTTCCATTCCACATGTATCAGGAATTCACGGGTGCCCAGGTGGGACACGGGCTGAGGAAAGCCCCCAAGAAGCCCCTGCCTGAGCCGTCGCCTTGACCGACCTGCATGCGCCATGTAGGCTGGGCACGAAGACGAAGGCGGATTGCAACCAGCTTGGCTACGTGTCAAAGGAAGGTCCCACACAGTCAGTCTGCAAAGGGCAGGAGAGTATTTTTTCCTTTTTCTCCACCCCTTTTTTTTTTTTTTTTTTTTTTTTTTTTTTGCGGAGGGGACGGGGGAGGCGGTGGGCAACTCCAAATGTTTAAGGAAACAGTTAAAACACACCTGACCTCTACACTGAAGGAAAAAGGAATTCAGTGAACACAGATGACAAAGAATACAGACTCAAAAAACAGTTTAGAAAAGTCAATAAAGAAGCAAACAAGAACCCACAACACACAACAAGAACGCTGGGGCCGGGGGAAGAATCTGAATTTCAGAGTTGCAACATTATAATACTAAAAACGTCTGGTTTTCAGGAAAAAAAAAAAAAAAACACATGCAAAGAAACAGAAAGTATGGCCCACTCACAGGAATAAGAGAAATTCACAGAAGCCATCTCCTTCAGCCCAGTGTCTGGTCACTGGGACTGGTGCCAGCCAGCTGGGATAAGAACTCACCACTCTCAGCGGGCGGTTATTTGAGACTAAATTTAAATACAAACTCAATCGGAATCTCAAAGACTTTGGAGAGGAGCCTGGTAAGTATTCTAAAGGTCATCGCTAAGAACTCACGTGGGAAAAGCCAGGGAAGTTTGGGAAAATAGGAGACTTGCTCTTCAATACACGGGAAAGCATTACAAAGCAACGGCAGTTACAACGCGATCTAATTAGCACAACGATACAATTGTTCCATTAAACAAAAATGCCCCAGAAAGAAATGGAGGGTTTACAAGCTATGAGACTGGAAATGAGGGAAAACCCAGTATAACCAAGCTGCTGGCAGCTCCAGGGTTGGAACAAACGAACCGCTGGTCCACAGTTATCTACTATACAAAAACCCCCAGCAACAACTCGCCTTGGCTCTCACTGATCTCTCTTAGATTAAGTGTCCATCCCAGGGACAACTAAACTGGGCTGAAAGGACAGGTGCTGTGATTGGTCACCAGGGAATGTGCCAGCTCTAGGGTCTCAGCTTCTCTTTCTGGAAAGATGTGGGGAAGAAGTCAGCAGAATAAAGCAAAGCCACTACGAATGAAGATTTCATCCATGATACAGACAGTACTTCAAATCAGGAACAAAAAACAATAGATTAATTAAATGGTGTAGAGACAAGCAATTCACCAGAAAAATAAAAATCAGACACTTCCATCAAGCCACATCTTGTCAAGGAAAAGTGGGAAATGCACAATGGACAATTTATTTAAATTTTAAAATAGTTGTCTCCTGTAAAGAGAAAGAATACCTAATTTGCAAATAGGTACCAGAAGGAAATTTCCTGTGTTCTATTTCTTTCAAACAAGAAACAGCATCATTTCATTGTTTCATGGAAATTTACATGGCAGAAAGCAGTCACTGAATCATTTCTCAAAAAAAAAAAAAAATCATTCTTGCATCCAAATTCCTGTGGTATCTAACACTTCTGAATCACATAATTAAAAAAAATATACACCTCTGCAATGTGAGGACGCCTTAGAGCTCCAGGTATAAGGGGACTCCTGACCTCAGGTCTTCCTGATACAGCTTCAGAGCTGGTTAATTCACTCTGCGCCATCACTGTCCGCGGCTTCTCTACCTCTGCTCACCGTCCCCAGAGTACCAGCCCTGATTCACAAGATGCAACCAACGGTGGTATCCAGATGGACAATGCCATTGTGCTCACGACAAACAATAACAAGCCCTTTCCCCCACGTCACCGAGAATACTTTCCGAAACATCCCATTGGCCTGTGCCAGGTCATATGCCCAGCCCGACAGAATCCTGGTAGAGAGAGATCACGGGCCACATCAAGTCTCTCCAACAAGAAACAGGGAGCGGCCTGCCCACCTGCTCAAGGGCAGGGCATCTGGAAGCCTACTCTGGAGGCCCCGTTGCAACCACTGGGAGTAGGAATGAGAAGCGCGTTTCCATGCACAGAACCACCTTCTGCATAGTGAGCACTGCTGTCCAGCTACTCCCGAGCAAGCCTTGAGTCGTCGGCAGCGCCGTAGCCTGCCTTTGCATAGCTCAAGAGCATGCTGTCATTAAACCAGCTAAACCCAAGACAGTCACTTTTTAAAAAGGCGTTGTTTGGCTGTTATTGAGTAGACCAATAACAATGGGAAAATTATCTATGTATGCCAGAAAACAGTAAGAGAATAGATTAGTGTGGTACTTTCCCAAGACTTTTAATCAATTTTTTTCAGAGTTCTTTAAAGAAAAATATAGTGAACGCCCATTTACCTACCACTAACTTCAATAAGTGCTAGAATTGGACTATTTCTGATCCATCTACTTATGTATCATTTTGTCTTGAACCACCCTAAAGTTGCAAACATCATAACAGTTCGCCTCTCTGTATTCAGCATACATCCCAGAAACAACCACGAATATTCATAACCACAATTATCGCACTTAAGAAAATTAACTCTACTTCCCAAGTATTGTCTAATACCAATTCCACATCTAAATTCCTCTAATTGCCTCCAAAATAGCTATGTAGATGTCTTTTTTAATCCAGTCAAGGTTCATGACCTGCATTTGATTGTCTCACTAGTTTCTGTGAATCAAAAATAGTCCCTCACCTTCTTTTTTAAAATGACATTGCCTTCTTGAAGGGGCCAGTTGTCAGTTGTCTTGTAGAATACCCCGCGTTCCTTATCTGTCTGATTGTTTCCTCCATCTGCCTTATTTCCTGTAAACTAAAAGACCGAATGCGGGATTGGATTCACATTAAGTGTTCTGGCAAGAACACTAGAGTGCATCTCATCAAGAGGCATGTAACGGAACTACTGCTATGAGCGATGCTACATGCGGTCACCTGGTTAAAGTGGGCACTAGATCATTCCATTGTAAAGGTACACTTTTTCTAGGTACAGTGAGTGAGATATCCATGGGCGATACTCTGGCACTACACGAATGGCCTGTCTCCTTAGAATCTGATGATTCTAACATCTACTGACAATCTTTGCCTAGATGCACTAAGGGTGAATTAGTAATCTGTCAAATGGTCATTCCTTCTACATTAGCTGACATTTTTCAATAACGGACAGCCTTACCACAACTGGAGAGAGACAACTGCTTCTACTAAAAGGATAGGCTGAAAACCGAATTCTTTCCCTCTAAGTACAGAGTAAGGAGTTTGTGTGAGATTCGCTTCCAATGGTGGGAATGAGCTTAGCCCCTTTAACGTTTTCTGTGTTTCGCTATGGACTCAGATTTTTGTTTACTCAAATGTTATAGGCAATTACGGTCATTCCATTTGACCATCGAGTTACCTCAAATTTGGCCAGTGGGAGCCCCTTCTAGCTACTCTGTGACCTCTGACACGTCCTCATTAATCTTTGCTGCTTCCTTGGTTTCTGACCTAAGCCTTGCTTACCTCAAGTACTCTCTTCAAGGGTCCAATGCCTTCACCTTGCTGCTGCAACTTGTGTTTTTCAAAGGCTTCATATTCTAACAATGAGTACCATTAGTATAAGCTATACATTATGTCACATTTTCAAAATTTGGTACCACATCACAATCGTGACTTCTAGTATTATATTATTCCTAGAGAAAAATAACTTATCCACATTTCCTAAATTGATAGGTTTCTCCTCTGTATTAATTCCTTTCTTTGAAAATAAAAGTTTTTTTCTTGAAAGCTTTCATGCATACAAAACATATATTTTTTCACTCCAATATCAATTACCTCGTGTTCAGTAAGTTGTGAGTTTGTAAATGTTTTATACTTTTGTTATATTCTTTAAGTTTTTCCTCATGATTTCTCTGAGACATATATTTGATTTGTAGGCAGATACTAATATACAGGATGTTCTCAGGGCTCTCTCTCCATAGAATTGGCTGATATTTAGCAAAGCATGCACAAATTTTCCAATGTTCATTCCATTCATGGACAGCCCTCCACCCTCTACCCCATGTGTACCCTCTGGTGTCAACTAAAGACTAAATTTATACATAAAGGGAGTCTCCATATTACTACATTTGTAAGGTTTCTCCCATGAGTTCTCTATGATGCGACACAATGTGACAGAATTTTCCACATTTGATGCAAATTAGAGTGTCTCTCGTGTGAATTACCTGATTTTTAGCGAGAGCTGACTTCTTGCAGAAGGATTTCCCACATTCATTACGTTCACAGGGTTTCTCCCCTATGTGAGTTCTTTGACGTACAGTAAGGATAGAATTCATAGAAAAGGATTTGCCACACTCATTACATTCATAGAGTTTCAAACCTGTGTGAATTTTTTCATGTTTAGTGAGATTTGGCTTCACACAGGTTTTCCCACATACATTACAGTCGTAGGGTTTCTTCCCTGTATGAGATACCTAATGTATAATTAGGGCTGACTTATAGCAGAAGGATTTGCCACACTCAGTACATTTATAGGATTTCTCTTCTGTGTGCTTCCCATGAAGTACATGTAGGGCTGCTTATAGAAGGATTTTCTACATTCATTATATTTATAGGGATTCTCTCATGTGTGTTCTCTAATAGTTAGCAAATTGTGACTTCCGTCAAAAAAGTTTTCACACATTCGTTACATATGAAAATTTTCTTCCCTGTGTTTTTTTATATTTTGTCAGGTTTGATTTCATATAGAAAGATTTCCAACAATTCTCACTCTCATACGGTTTCTCCCATGTGAGTGAGTTCTCTGGTGACAACTGAAGTGTGATTTTGCATAGGATTTCCCACACTCATTACACTGACAGGGCTTCTCTCCTGTATGAAATCTCTGATGCACACATAAAGCTTCTTTTTTGACGACATTTTCTGCTGATCAGGTAAGGCTGAGTTCACAGGGGCTTTATCACATTCATCGAGTTTCTCTCCCAGAATTCCCTGAGGGTCAGTGGGTTGTGATTTCTGGAAGGTTTTTCCACATTTATTACTTTCACATGGTTTCTCTCTTGTGTGTATCTTCTGATGTCGAGCGTGATGCGACTCCTGGTTAAAAGCTTTCTTGCAAAAACGACATTCAAAAGTTTCTCTCCTCTCTGAGTTTTATGGAGTTGAGATGTAACTTCTTTTGGAAATTATTCTCATTTTCATTAGATTCGTGGGTTTTCTGCTCCCATGTTAACTTTCTGATGTTTAAAGAGAGTTGACTTCTCATACTAATTACCTTCAGGGTGATTCCCACTTGTGTGAGTTTCCTAATGGACTTCAAAGGTTGACCCATCACTGATATTTTCTCCATATTCCTTGTAATTCCAGGATTTCTCTTCTGTTTGAGCCCTTTTAGGTGTAATGACAGCTGCCTTATTAACGAAGGCTTCTCTGCATTCATTATCTTTGAAAGGTGGTCTTAAAGTTTGAGTTTTCTATTGCTCAGGCAAGTCCTCATTATGACTTAGGCATTTCCCATCTCGGTTACATACATCAGCTCTCCTTCCAATACGAGTGTTTTTCTTGCTTATTATCAAGAAGCAATTTCCCACATGCATTTATTTCATCAGAGTTCTTACTTGAGTGATTCTTATCACTAGTAATTAATTGTGAAACATTTTCCAAATTCGTTCCACATGAGCCCTATCGACAGGGTGTTTTTCTTGCAGAAACCGGGTTTGTGTCAAGTAAATGTTTTTCTGAAAACATTATCTCCCTTCTTAGTCAGGGTTTTTGGGTTGATGAAAAACTTGCCACAAATGTTTACCTTGGTTTTCCTGGTTTCTGTCTAGTTGACCATCAAATTTACTGACTTCTAGAAATAAAAAAAATTAAGTAAACTTTTAAAATGTTAACACATTTCTTATGTAAGTATAACTTATTACATAATTGATTCTCGATTTTCAAGCACAAGCTCCTAGGATGAAATCTCAAGCATAAACAGAAAACACCTGCTATAGTAAAAAAGGAAGAGGACAACTAGCAATGAACAAACACCTATTTGCTATTTTAAAAATATGACCTTTAGAACTAAAAATAGAAGGGGAAACTAAACACAGGAAATGATGAACTGAAGGAAAAGCATTATACAGAAACTCAGATATTGGGGTGAGCCCAATAAAAACCATGAACAGGAAGTAGAGTGACAAGACTATTAGTATACATGACTGTTCAGAAGAAATATCGCAGGAAGTCTTAAGTGTGGGATAAAACCGATTATCTATGTCTATATAGATAATAGCCCACTATCTACATGCCAATGGATAAAATAAGACTTGTATCAGTTGTTCAAGATACCCTTACAAAAATACGCAATAATTTTTTTTTAATATTTATTTCCAATCACGAGTTACAAGTGTAATACAGATTACATTCAGCTAGACTGCTTTTCAGCTTCGTTTCTACTAAAAACTCAGAGTACTCCAGGAAACGCATATTTCCCTAGCCTCCCTCTCTCTCTCTCTCTCACACACACATATACACACATTCATACACATACTTTTTCAAATCATGACTCTTAAAGTCTATTTTCTCAAACAGTGAAAGTAGTCACTTCCTATACTTCTCATTAACACACTTGGAAAGCATTAACTGTATCCAAATAGCACTTGATAACTCTGAATTTCAAAATATATCAAACGATTTTGTTTACCTCTCCTAACTACAACCTATGCTCCTGACAGATTTTACTGTATCTCCAGTTGTGTTTGAATTTGTCTAAGTATATATATAGTTGGTGGCCCTCAAGAAGCAGTATGCATCAGGATTACCTGGAAATTTATTCAAAACTTAGGGTACAAACTTTCATGGTTCCATGACAATCTATATACCCTAGGAATTAGAAGCTACAGGAACGTGACGTAGGCTCATGTGCTTAGGAAATGCTTCCTAAATAAACATACCTATCAGTGTCAATATATGAACATATCTACTATATATCTATGAAAGAGTAAAAAGAGACCCTTCAGATGGGGACAAAAGCCTCAGGCAAGAACCAGATGCTCTCTGTTGTCACAGCATATGATCAAATCTGAGTTGCTGTGACTTAGCCACTAGGTGAAGTGGGAATTGGAAGAAGGGAGGGATTCATGTTGGCTAGATTGATTAAGCACTTCCAAACAGAGGTGAAACTTCAGCTCAAACATAAGTATGTGTAAAAATAAGCACGATAAACATGAACTACATGGAGGCACAGTCCTACGCCCTTTCTTCAGGATCTAGAAGGGCAAACGTCAGGACGAGGTGCGGATGTGTGGAAAGTGTCTGAGTAAGACTTAGGAGACTGATCAGATGGAACTTACGATGAGTTTTTGAGCAACAGCACCAAGAACTTGAGTAACATGTAGTGGGAATATCTGCGGAATTAATAAATAATAAATAAATTCATTAATGCTTGGGGGACGTTAAACAGTCCATGAAAATGGAGGGAAAATGAATACTTGAGAAAGAGAAACCAAGAACTAAGGTCTGAGATGAGGCAGGCAGGGGTTCAACACTGGGCACAAGACGGTCAACTTCCCAAAGTCAGGCAGAAAAGGAAAGCGCTGGAACTCAAGCGATGAACACAGGTGTGAGCCAGGCTACATGAGGCGAGCTTACTTCCAAAGGTCTGAGGGTCCCAAACAGAGTTACTGAGATACAGACAAGGGTCCCGACCTCTGAGCCAACCTTCTGGAACCTGATTTCCACTGGCTTCTTTTTTCGCCTGGTAATGACTAACTCACCTGATCACTCGGCCTGGGAACCTTCCAATGGCCACAGCTCTTCCCTTTGCTCCAGCCTGGAGATCACCTCTGGCTTGGTGAAACAACACCCTGTGAGTGAGACAGGGTGAGACATCGGGCAAACTGCTTGGACATCGGGGCCCCTGAAGGACAAGGAAGGTGCAGCTTCAGGAGCCACAAGATAAAGGTGCCCATCTGAGCCTTTCGTTAGGGAGATGAGAACACAAAAATGATCTCTGGGCCCAACGGGAACAACCATCTTTGGCTGATGAGATGGATGTATGTACAAGTATCATTACGCTCCACCAAGGGCCGTCAATTTGGGCAGCTAAGAATAGGAAAAGAAATGCACGCTGGTGTAGCATGACACAGGGAAAACCACTCACCCACTGAGACCAGCGGAGCGCAGTTCTCCCGCATCACAGCCTGGTACAGGGGCCTCTGCGTGCCAGTCAGTCGTAGCCAGTCATCCAGGGTGAAGTTCGCAGTCATATCCTTGAATGATATGGATCCCTGACCAGCACATTTCTGTTCGAGCCAAAGAGATCGGTTATGCGTGGCATGAAAGAGATATCTGGGAAATAATTCTTAACGTGTTTATGTTGAGAGTTTACCATAAATATTATATAGGTTGCCTATTCTATACCTTTATTTTACTTTGTGAGATAAAGTGATATCACAGCAGGAAAAGCTAGACAGTGTATCAATGTATTAATTCAAACAAACAAATCAAAGTTTTACAGTTCCTACTATGTGTCTGAAACTGTCCTAGCTTGCCAGGAATGTTAAACTACATCGATCCTTTTTTTCCTGCTTTAAGGAGCTTACATCATAGTAGGGAGACAGGTCATATTTATGAACATTTATCCTGTAATAAGATATTATGAGAACTATGCCAGGTTCACTATAATCAGTATTAAATAAAGGTAGAAAATACAGCTTTATTCTGTATTGTCAGGTTAGGCTCCTCTGAATGGTAAATCTTCACTGATGTGGCACCAGTGCATAAGCAAAGTCAGAGGCCTGAGGAGCACACAGCAGTGGATCTGGGCTTAGGGCTGTTGGAGATTAAGGGCCACAGAGGGATTTGGGACCACGTGACGGAGTAACTCAGGACTCAGGCCCGTATTTAGCTGAGTGATCTCCAAAACACTTCCTCACCACCGTGGCAGTAAAGTTTTGAGCACCCCTTATTTTAAAATAAATAATATATACATCCTACCAATTTACACAGTAATAAAGTTAATTTATCTGTTTTTTTTTTCTCATTCAAAACAACATATTGTTTTCTTCCCATGGGAGAAAAACACTGGAATGTATCTTCTGCTCGCCACAGGTGGGTGTGGCTACTGAAGATAACAGGGAGGCCAATGAAGACGTGCGGGCGATCACCTGTACAGCCTGAGCAGTTACATCAAAAACAGGAAAGACCTCGGATCGACAACCTAGCCTTACAACTTAAGGAACTAGAAGAAGAACGAATTAAACCCAAACCTAGCGGAAGGAAGATAATAAAAAAGATTAGAGCAGAAATAAACAAAATAGAAAATAGAAGAATAGAGAAAATGAAAACAAAAGCTGGGGTTTTTTTTTTTTTGAAAAGATGAACAAAATTGATGAATTTTTACCTAGATGGATTGAGGGAAAAAAAAGAGAAGACTGAAAGTATTCGATCGGAAGTGAAAGCAAGGGCATTATTCCTGATTCTGCTGAGATAAGGGATATTATAAGGGAGTATCGTGAACAACTGTACACCAACAAATCGGAAAACCAAGATGAAATGGACAAATCCTTAGAAACGCAAAACTTACCAAGACCATATCACGAAGAAAATAGACAATCTGAATAGACTTATAATTAGTAAGCAAATTGGAGCAGTAATGAAAAATGTCCCAACAAATAAAAGTCTTGGACCTGATGGCTTCGCTGGTTCATTCTACCAAACGTTTAAAAAAGAGCTAATCCCAATCCTTCCCAAACTTTTCCAAAATATTGAAGAAGCGAACATTTCCTAATTCAGTGTATGAAGCCAGCATTACTCCAACACCAAAACCAAAAGAAGATGTTGCAAGCAAACTACAGATCAATATTCCTTATGAATAGTGATGCAAAAATCCTCAACAAAATTCTAGCAAGCCAAATTCAGCAGCATATTAAAAGCATTATACAGAATGACCAAGTGGGATTTTTTCTTTGAATGTGAGGATGGTTGAAAATACAAATATCAATTAAAGTAATACACCACGCATTAAAAAATAAAGGGGAAAAATCACACGATCATCTCAACTGATACAGAAAAAGCATCTGACAAAATTCAATACCCATTCATAATAAAAACATTCAATGAAGTAGGAATAATAGGAAACTACCTCAACATAATAAAAGCCACATATGACGAACCCACAGCTGACATCACACTTGATGGTGAAATACTGAAAGCTTTTCCTCTAAGATCAGGAATAAGACAAGGATGCCTACTTTCGCCACTTCTACTTAATATAGTATTGAAGTTCTAGCCAGAGCGATTATTCAAGAAAAAGAAATTAAAGACTTTCAAATTGGAGAAGAAAAAGTAAAATTATATCTATTCAAAAATGATATGACATTATATGTAGAAAACTCTAGAGTCCACACACACGCAAAAAAGCTTTTAGTGCTAATAAATGAATTCGGCAAAGTAGCAGGATACAAAGTCAACACAAAAAAACAGCTGCGTTTCTAGACATTAACAACGATTTGAAAAGGAAATTACAGAAACGATTAATTTACAATAACATCAAAAAGAATAAAATACTTAGGAATTAACAAAAAAGGTAAAAGACTTGTACAATGAAAACTACAAAAGGTTGCCGGAAAGAAATTAAAGGCATAACTAACTGGAAACACTCCCATGTTTATGGATTGGAAGACTTAAAATGGGCAAAGAATTTGAACAGACATTTCTCCAAAGAAGATACAGTAATGGCCAATTAGCACATAAAAAGATGCTCAACCTCGGCGATAATTAGGGGAATGCAAATTGAAACAATGAAATATCACCTCACATCCATTAGAATGGCTACTTAACACACACACACACACACACACACACACACACACACAAACACAAAATAACAAGTGTTGGAGAAGATGTGGAAAAACTGGAACCTTGTGCACTGTTGCTGGGGATGTGACATGGTACAGCAGCTTTGGAAAAGAGTGTGGCAGGTCCTCGAAAAATTAAAAACGGAATTCCCATATACCCGGCAATTCCATTTCTGGGTATATACCCCAAAGGGCTGAAAGCAGGGTCTTGAAGAAATATGTAAACACCCACGTTTATAGCAGCATTATTCACAACAGCTAAAATGTGGAAGCAACCCAAGTGTCCACAGACAGACGAATGAGGTATGCATATAATGGAATATTATTTAGCCATAAAAGGGAGGGAGTTTTCACATAGATACCACATGGATGAACCTTGAAGACATTATGCTAAGTGAAATAAGACAGTCACAAAAGGATAAATACTGTATGACACCACGTATAGAAGTACCTAGAATAGTCAAAAACAGATTGGCAGAGAATAGAATGGTGGTTGCCAGTGACGGGGTGAGGGAGGAGTGGGAAGTTACTGTTTAATGGGTACAGAGTTTCAGGTTCACGAAATTAAAAGAGCTAAAGGAATGAATGGTGGTGATGGCTGCACAATATTATAAATGTATTTATTTAATTCCACTGAACAGTATACTTAAAAATGGTTAAAATGTCAAATTATTATTTAAAAATTTTTTTTTATCCTCACGGGAGGACCACTTGGCCCCGTACAGATGGGTAGCTGGATGGGAAAGTCCCTAGAGTGAGACTACCACAATCTTCAAAAACATGACTGGAGTCTATGGCCATGCCACCCTGAACAAGCCCAGTCCCGTCTGATCTCGGAAGCTAAGCAGGGTCGGGCCTGGTTAGTACTTGGATGGGAGACCACCTAGGAAGACCAGGTGCTGTAGACGTAAAAAATAAAACATAAACAAAAAAGGGATTGTAAGCTGACAAGGTCCTTGCAATCTGTGAGGTCAACCAAGGGTTGCCCTCACCTAAAAAATATAAAAATAAAAGTAAATAAATAAAATAAAAGTAAGACTGGATAGGGCATAAACATTTGCAAAGACTGTGACTCTGAACTATCTGCTGTCCACCCCGTATAGCTGAAGGAGTTATTTTAAGAACATGCTGTCCATTTCCTTCATTCCTCCACACAGTCTTAGGTTTTGTCCTTGGATCGAAGCGTGTGTTCAAAAAGCTCTTACAGCATCCACAATGTTTTGGTCCCTAATAAAACCTCACTGGGCTCTGCCCTTCACTGCCAATGAAAAACAATTACTGGCAACAAAAGAGTTGCTACTAGATTCTTCCCTACCAAAGACCTTCAAAGACTTTCTTCCCAAACTCCAACGCCAGGAAGTCTCCCTTGTCCCAGGAATAACTGGCTGGTTTTTCCTTGTGGCCAATGAAAATCCTGTGTAGAGCAGGAAGATCAAAGACACATGTGCTGTTCGCCTTTGACGATTACTTGACCTACACAGATAACAGCCACCTCTGCCTGCTAGTCAGGTGTCTCTCAGTCACTCTTAATTTACCTGTAAGCTTTTTTTTTTTTTTTTAAATCAATTTCCACTTTTCCATCTTAACATATGAACACACTTAACAAAAGCCATGAAATCCCCTGGAAAATAAAATAGGGGATCAAAGAAACAACTCACCTGAGATCTTTTCATTTTCCGTGTTCGTAGAATAGCATTGAAACTTGGAAGGCATACCTAGGAGGGGAGCGAAGGGGGACAGAACAGTGAGAGCTGGCTGGCCCTGCAGCTCCATGATTCTCCTCCTAAAAACCCTACACACCAGCTGGTAATCTTTGATCACAGAGAAGGAGGGGAAGGTAACATCCAACCCTCTGCAACCCCTCCAACCTGCAATGTTCCCTACTGCTTTAATTATCAGTAACACAGAAACATTTAAACCGGAATTATCGAGCAAATAATAGCATCTCAAAAGATGACATGTGGTGCCTACATTAAAGCTGATATTGCAGGGGGGAAAAAAGCCAAAAGGCTATTTTGTGTGTTTCACTACCAATAATGTTAACCCCTTGAGTCCAAGAATCCTCATAAAGCTTTGGAAAAACAGATAGGTGCCTTAAACGTAGGTCTCTTTAAAAATTGTTTCTCCTCACTTGGTTGTTTCTCAAAAGGATCTCTTCAGATGAAATTTCTATCAGTGTGATTGTGTGGACAGCACCAAGCCAGGAGTCCAGGCCTCCGACTTCTCCCATTCAGCTCTTGTTGACCCTAGACAGGTCATTTCCGTTTTCACGTCTTTTTTTTCCCCTCCTGTCAAATGAGACAAAAATAGATAATCTTGGCAAACCCTCCCTGAACTACTTCTCTTGACTCTGTAAGATCAGGAAAGACAAAACAGCACATCTCCACATGCCAGACACGGTGACTGGACGAGGTTAGAAAGTTGGCCAGGTTCTGGAAAGAATGAGTGGACAAAGAAGAGAGGAGAAGGTGCCTTTTGGGGGCGGGGGTTGAAGATGAAAAGCTTCCCCGCCGCGGACTCCCCCAGCACCCCACCAACAGGTGACGTTTCTCACGCAGTCCGTCCCTCGCCACCGCTCTCAGCCCCGCTCCTTTCTCTCTTCTACAGAGTGACTCACGGCTTCTGAACGTGGTGAAATCACTCGAGCCTTGGCCCCTCTGCGCGATCTGCTTCTTTTCTGGGTTTCTTCCGCCTCATCCAAGCTCGGATGGGTCTCGGGTCATAGGTTGGAGGGCAGAAGGGGGTTCTTCCCGGTGAGATTCCTGTCCCTGAAGCCCTCCGCCTTCTGGGCGCATTGGTTTGTTCCAGCAGAGCCTAGGGGACAAATTCCCTTTAGCTGGAACCTCCACCAGGGGCCCCGGACCTGGCTTTCTAGGAACACGCAGCCGCCAGAAACCTCAGGCAGCATCTCTACGAGCGCAAAGCAGGAGGCTGAGGACAAAGGCAGGCAGCCTGGCCGCAGCGAAGAGCTCCCGGCCCCGGGACTGCGCAGAGCCGGGCTTTCCCGGGACGGCCGGCAGCTCTGCTGGACAGCGCTGGGGCGACGGGCAGGGAGGGTCCACGCGGCTCCACGGCGCAGAGTCGCCCACAGGAGCTAAGGAACCTCTAAGGAACCCCAGTATTCAAACCGCCGCCGGCAAGCCTCGGGCACGCACACTTCGGGTTTCTATTGGGGCCTGAGGAACGGGCGCCACCCAGGGACGCGCAGGAGGCAGCGGCGGGCTACGGACGCCGTGCACTGCGGACAAGGCGCAACACCGGTCCCACCTCGCTCCCTAGTCCGCGGGGCCCTGGGCGGCCTGTCGCTCCGTCCTCTGAGTCCGATTCCGGCCGCGTCGGTGGTTATGAGGCTGGAGACCCCGCGGCAAGCGCGGCCTCGCCCCGAAACGCGGCTCTTCCCGTGCGTTGGCTCCGGCCCCCTATTCAGTGTGGA